CGAGCCCCCTCTGGAGCAGCAGGAGCCTCCTCTGGAGGACCTGGATGAGGACCTTCATTAGTGCCACACAAAAGACCACCTTCCCCTGGTCTGATTGTTTCCTGCTCTCACTTTGATTGTCCTCAGCAGACCCCTGATCAGAGACGTAATAGATCTGAAACAATGGCTTTAATTATTCACTTTAACGTTCTATTAACTCGGAGACAGAATGTACCCTGCTACAGAGATGACGTTGTTTGGTAAACTCCACAGGACACATTCACTGAAGTCCAAAACTATGTCAAGAGCGGTTGATTTTCTTTATTAGGTTTTATTTAATCAAAAGTCTGTGATGGAAAGTGGAAAGTTGCTTTATTTGGGGCTATGGTCACCAAGTGGAAATGTTAGTGCTGCGTTGATTGCCAACTACTAACCAAAAATTAGAAAATACGTTTTTACAAAAATATTTTAGGAATTTAAATATTCAGTATAATAAACATTCATCAGGTAATTATGGGTTTATCTATACACATAGGAAACATATAACTGAACAAACCAATTTAAGAAGTATGACATGTTTTTCAGTCCTTTCACAATGACTACACAAAGATACAGATGGAGCCAAAGTGTCTTCTGTTTGGCATACTCAAGGAACAATAACAGCGACAGAATAAGGATAACCAACAAAAATACTTCAGCTTTTTTCTGAACCGCTTTGAAGATTAGACAACACCACACTTCCCCAAATGGTGTTAGCAGATTATATAATTGTGCTGACTTAAGATGAATGCAGGATTTCTCCTTTAGACCTGGAAACATGGTTAAAAACGGTCCTTTGATGATCTGATAATGTTGTGCAGCTTCAATGGAATACGCACCATGTATGAGTGCACTTGGGGGCAAGCTGGGCCGAGAGCGGGGCCTTTTCAGCCTAGTGTGAAATTGAAAACCTGGTTGTGAACTGACATGAAGCTATATGAGTTATTACGGTATGCTATACACACGCACGCACACACAGAGGGTTGTGACCCCGCCTCCACGTGACAGTCAGAGGAGTACAACCAGCAGGACATGAGATTTGAGACAAGACTGGGTGTGGTCATTTATCCGTGTAATTTATTTAGCTCTAATTCTACATTCCAGAGACATTTCCCTTTTTTTTTTGCAATGTGGGAATTTAGTGATGTCTTTAGTTCACGGAGAGATGCATTCACATGGATCACATTGTCACATGGTCTACAATGACTGAATCAGTTTTTAAAATATCATTCAAAATTGTCAAAGAGTCTTGCTCATGGACAGAACTTATTTAATCTTTAAGCCTGTATCTTTGTTTTTTTTATGTTGGAAGAGAGATAGCGAGGGAGATTGGATTTTTCAATGCTTTTGTTTTTCTTTGGTGTCATTGCAAATATATATATTTTTTTAGCACAGATTTTTATTGTTATTGTGGAGTGATGTATTTTTCATGCTTAAAAAAACCCAACAGATTTTTACTCCCTTGTTGCTCTTTAGTTCTTCCCATGTGTGAAATGTAAGGAAAACTGCGCAGGGAAAAATGTCTGTCTATTATTTTTATTTTATTTATTTATTCTTTAATTCAGACACACAAAGGGTCCATAAAAAACAAAAGAGACAAAAAACACACAAACATTCAATATTTACAAAATTCTATTCAGTTCAGTTCTACACTGAAGATTCATAGCTCAATAAAACATTTCATTAAAACAAACCCTCAAACTTTTGCTTGTAGATATTACTTGTGGAATAACATATTTTTTCCGGTCATATTATTGGTTTATCTGTTTGAAGAACTGTTTTTTTCCCTCCACAAACCTAGAGAATTAGAGGAGCTCAACCTGTTTTCTTCACCAGACTAAATATCACAAGTGAATATTTTGTCCGCAGCTGCACGGGTGATCCCAGGCGCTGTCTTCACATGGATACAGTGGCGTTGTGTTATCACAGTACACTTGGTTCCCTCCTTAAATGCTACAGATGAAGCCAATGTAACCTCCTGCTTAGATGTCATCACCCATCGACTAGAGCGGCACGATTTTGGCAAATTATGATCAAATTGTGATTTTTGTTCCGTGTAAAAATAACAACAAAAGTAATAATAAGAACAATAACACAAATCCCACATGTTACAGAAAAATGTTATAGTGGTCTAAAGTGACTGAGACCTGGACGATATAAGACCGATGGCTGGACGATATACCCATTTAAAATCCCGCTTTGGATGATCACCAAATTGTTTAACAAAAAAAACCACAATTTTGAATTTCAAATTCAGAGAATTATTTTCTGCAGTATGAAATAAAATGTGTTTACAAAGTATTCTTAATCAAATAACCCAATATGTAACAAGTCATCTCTATGAACATGTCTCCAGAGAAATCACTGGAGCTTTGTCAAATGTTTAAACAATTCAGAAGCTAAATAACGATTGATGAATTGAAAGAATAATCGGCCAAACAATGTATTGTCAAAATAATTGTTAATAATAGCTCTACAGATATTTCGATTATGCAAAAGTTTTTGTTATTTTGCTTATTTTCAGGCCCTTTTTGTTTTGCCAAAAATGTAGATTATTGCAGACTTTTACATTTGCTAATTGCAACCACAAAAAAATGCGATTTGATTAACCAGGCAGTTCTAGCCTCTATTTATATTTCAGAGGAAAGAGCCGCCCCTCGCCTCAGTGGACAAACAGTAAAACTTGTGCCAAAGTGGAGCGGTGTGGACTGCAGTGCCACACGCAGTGCCAGCTGGCTCCTGTTATCGTTATCCCGTATTTACAGTCACTTCAATTCCTGCAAGGTCGGAGAGAAGACCAGTGTGTGTCACATCTGCATCTTCATTTATGTCTTTGTCTTATGGCCAGAGCAGTGGCCGAGTTTCACTTCTGTGACGAGAGGAACAAATTTTTCTGCTGATTTTTGTGAAAAACACTGTCAGCGTCATGATGTAAGTGGAGGCAAAAGTCAGTCAAAGGTTGTGCCATGGAAAACAATTCACACTCAACAAAAAAATCACATGCAATTGCTAAGGTAATGTTTATGTTTAGTTAGATAAAACCATAATTAAAGTCTCTAGTCCATTTTGTTGTGACTGTGTAGTTTCATAGTCCATACTGATCCCCCAACAGAAATGTTACTTGAAATATGGCTTTGTGCGTGTGGATGAGATAGTGCAGTCTCTGTCCTCCTCTCTTTCCATGTCGGTCAAAGGGAAATGAATAATTGTTTCCACTTGTTGAAATGCTCACACTTTTAAAGAGGGTGTTGCCTGACATTTCAACGATCATTTGCGACCAAATAATCATTTAAATACCAGGTTTGCTATGAACCTGGATCACTTAAACCTTACTTTGAACATAGGCCAAAATATTTAGTTTGAGGAGGAAAAGTTTTGGAAGAGAAGGTTTAAGCTCCGCAGCGCAGCCTTTGGATTCCAAACACATCATTTGGCTGTGACTATTATGTCCTCCACAAAAATGTGCGTAAACAACAATGTAAACTATAATTACTGCTGCTCTAATAAAGCTGTCTGTGCACCGCATCTGCCCCGCCGATCCCACCACTATTGTTCACTCACCAGATTCCTACCGTTGCAAGTTTTGGGTGGTGGGGGAAACCGGAGCACCCGGAGGAAACATGCACACTCCACACAGCAAGGCCTGGGCCAGCACAAAATTGAACCCACAACTTGTGATACCCACCCACTGTTTGAAATTGTGTCCTGAGTCCTGATTCTGCAAAGCCCACAAAGGAAATTAAGAATAAAATCGGCTTGAACGGTTGGTGGAACGGTTATCCGCTAATTTAGTGAATCTAAAATGAGTTTAGCATCAGCATACATATGCATTCTACAACAGGCTGTGCATAGGTTGTAGCGTATTTAACCCTAAACAATGTTTCTCTATGAAAGCACTGAAGATTTTTTTTAAATATTCATGGTCAAAACAAATAATTTACATGGTGAAAGATAAGTGAAAGATTGTGAAGACCGTGTTTAAAAAAAAGTGAATGACAGTCCCACAAGCCGTTATGTAACATTTGAGGAAATATGTGCGGGGAAGGGACAAGAGGAGAGTAGAGGGCAGGAGGGATGTTCACAGATCTATGAGGGGCAGAACTATAAAGCTGCTGTTATAAAAGCGTTCAGGGCTCCTCCGAGTGCTGCTACTTCGAGGACCCTCTGCGGACCACCCTTATGTAAGTCAGGGTGCTTTTATTCAGGAGCTGTCGCCTTCTGCACTGTGGGGAACATGCTGATAAGATTAGATAGACTTTATTGATCTCACACTGGAGAATTTTACAGGGCTCAATGTTCATTTTGGGGTGGATCCTATTTATTGCCAGGCTCTGTATTGGTCGATATGTGGAGTATATGCAGAGACGTGGTGATGTTGTTGTTTTAGAGACGTTGATTATTGAGTATGTCGAGCACAAGTAGCTGTTTGAAAATATGAAAATTGTTTGTCTGAACCTTTTTGGGGACAATTTACAGTTGTCTCACGTGTGGCTGGTTTTTACACCACAATTAATGGAAGAACCTATTTAGCACTTTTTGTTGGGTTGACACAGTTTTGTCTGAAAATAGTTTTGTGCAATGTCTCTATTTATCTTTTCATATTTTTTGGTTTCATAGAAAACACATTAAGTCTGACAATTGAATTCATGCATTTTCAAGTTTTGTATTTTCGGTTATATTTGCTGCAGCTTTCATTGACGGTCCATAGCTAGTCTTTCAAACATGACAGCGTAATCTATAGTTTCTGTGCAATAGTATTTCTCTGTCTCTCTCTGCAGCAGAGCAGAGGGGAGCAGTCCTATGTAGTGACTGCACGTGCAGTTTTAATTGCATGTTAATGACTTATAGAAGCATGTGTATGTTGTGTAATTCGTGCCGTTGCAGCGTTGTAAACATGCTGTTGCTATCTGTGTACTTCAGACCTGGGGCCACCCTGATAAGACCTGATTCCAGCTGGACCCAGAGGCTCCGCAGCAGCAGCCATGACGGCCATCAACGCACCACGAGACAAGTGCGCACGACAAAAGCCTATTATTTAATGACAACTGTGGAAAGATTGACTTATAGCGTTCTTCCTCATTTCTGTTCTCGCAGGTACAACGCTGTGTGGCTCATCTTCTTCATCCTCGGCCTGGGAACACTTCTGCCATGGAACTTCTTCATGACAGCATCAGCGGTAAGTCTAGTCCCGGCTCAGTTTTCTTTATGGAGTTTAGAAGCAGAAGAATGCCAAAGGTAATCCCCAAAACAACTAGCGGATGTAGGTGGAACAATAGTGCGTCTGTGGGCAGTGGTCACTTGATTAAAGGTTGAGCCCCTGGTTTGGAGGCTGACCCCTCACCTCTCTGTTTGTTTTGTTTTCCTCCAGCTCCGCCTCATCCCGAGTGCTCCCAGGGGCCAGGGAATGCCGATCTCTAATCACTGTTCATTGTGTTTGGCTTTTACAGGTTAATTATTAAAAAGGCTTAAATCAATTGGTTTTTAAAGCCATTTACAGGTTTAGACCCAGAATGTTTCTGTGTAGCCTTTGAGCTATTTAGCTACAATCTGGTGCAGAGCATCTTCGTCTTAATGAACTTCATGTCTCTGCATTCTTCAACTGAAGACTAAACCAGACTAAACTAAGTCAATGCAATTGAATTAGTCAATTAGATCAACATTATGTAACTATCTGAAGGTAGCACATCATCTGCACGACTCCATGAACAAGTAAAGGTGAAAGGAACGTCTGTACTCAGTCCTCCTCCAGCTGCCTGCAGAAAACTACTGCAGACTTATTCTACTGTGTGTATTTTATATCCCTCGACCCTCGGTAATCATTCTAAACTCCCAAGCTAAAAGTTGTGCATTTCGGTTGTTTACTGAATCCATAAAAGTTCACCTTTTACCTGTTGACACGATTCACTTTTTTGTGGATTTGCTCTGTTTGCTTTCAGAGTTAACTCATTGAATTTGTCTTTTTCCCTGTGGTTGATTGTACAGTATATTGATTCACTGAAATGCATGATTCCTGCTCTCCTGACCGAGCCAACTCTATATAAACACTATATCTTACTTTTGCTCATCCAAATATCCTGTCTTCTTAATCTTAGTTTAAAGGTTCTCGTTGCTTGGTCTTTTCTTCCAGTACTTCACCAGTCGACTGAAGGACCCAGTGACCACAACCTTAAATCTGACAGGAAACGAGACCGTGGGTGGCGGCGACACAAGAAGCGTCCTGGAGTCAAAGTTTAACAATGTGATGACGCTTTGTGCCATGGTCCCTCTGCTCATCTTCACCTGCCTCAACTCCTTCATCCACCAAAGGTACTCCTCCTCCTCCTCTTCACCATGATACAGTTGTGTTTCTCCACCAGCCTGTTATGCATCAGTAACATGATCGTGTTATGAGAAAAGTCTGGATGCCCCCGGTATATTTGCTTTAATTAGAACAGGATTGAGTGAGATCCGTGTTGGAAGCTGTCTTCCCTTCACAAACACACCTAAGAATGTTTTTGAAACTCCCTCACCTGCTCAACTTTACTTAACCTCACAATAATGTTTTACACACAACCTTTTAGCTTCTATTTCCTTTCATGACCCAAATTTTATATTCGTTGTAGACAAATGGCTTAACATAACGTTATTTTTCATGGATTTTACATTTTGTTTTCAGAGTGTCCCAGAAGTTGAGGATTCTGGGGAGTCTGTGTGTGATTTTTGTGGTTTTCCTGATCACTGCCATAATGGTGAAGGTCAACATTGAGCCCATGTCGTTCTTCAGCGTCACTATGATCAAAATAATCTGCATCAACTGTGAGTCACACAATACATTGTTTTAAAAAGTTGAATTTTACTTGTTAAACATATTGATGATACTTCACTACAAGTGTCAAACACACACGCATCAAAATACCGTTTTCTATGCGTTGTGAACTCATTTAGCAGCATGGAAAGTGAAAGTAGACAGCCCTATAGGGGTGGGAACCTAAGGGTACTTGACGATACGATACGATACACGATACAAAGCTCACGATAACAATAATATCACGATAACGATATTACGATAACGATTTTATCACGATATGACGATTATTGATATATTGGTCAGAAATATACAATATGGCAATTTATGGCATAAATAAAATAAAAAATACTCTTTATTTCATGATAAATAGAATGGAGATGCGTAATGTAGCCATATATTAAGTATTGATACCAATTCAAAAAAAAAATCTAAAAAAAGTTTTTTATTTTTATTTTTATTTTCAAAATTTATATTGATACTTGGCAAATGCATATCGATAATCGAATCGCGGGAGAAAGTATCACGATATATCAAAAAATTGATATATCGTCACACCCCTACAGCCCTACTGCAATATTGAACATACACAGTGTTACCACCACTACAAGATGCCCCTGAGGAGGTGTGATGTGATCCAGGCTCTGAAACACTGTTAATCTCTAGATTCACCTTTACTTAGTAAACCCTTACTCAATCAGCTTTACAGACTGTATATGTATATTATAATTCTTGTGTAGTCATCGTCACGGTTACACGCAACTGATGCAACGCGGCCAGTGAGGCACCAGCCGTCAACAAGCAACACACAAATGTAGTCATGACTCCTCAGATAAATACCAGTAAATACTGTAGATGTCAGGAATTGTTATTCATTCATTCATATACATATGTCGTTTTTTGTCTTTTGACTGCACTTTTTGGCATCAGGAGCTGTTTGTTATACATGTAGGGATATGTTTTCTTTTTCTTTCTTGCACCATTTCAGTGCTGCAAACTTACAAACTCTCACAATTATTTTAGACTCATGTTGTTACGATCTGAAGCCAAAGCAGAAACACATTTCCTCATATCACTTGATGTGGTTGAGAACAGAGCACTCCCACGGTGTGTGTTTGTTTGGAGTGAGTGGACGCAGCAGGCATAAGCAGACCCCCTCCCACCCCCCATGGGCTGCAGTGGACCCTAACCCTGACCCTCAGTGATGAGAGGCAGAAGACACCACGACCCTGAGGCTTTGATACTGACACACATTCCACACTGCATCTCAGCTCAGATGAAAAGCAAACAAAATACATTTCAAATAACTCTTAGATCATTATTTTGTGTTTCCATACTGTACTTTGTGTAACTATGACTGGTTTCATCAACTGGTACATTGTTTTGTTTTTAAAACTTTATAAGCTGGTGTCATTTACGTCATAATGCAGCGTTGGAAAGAAACAATGTTCCAAGAGTGATTCTGATCAATGTGACTCGTCTGTGTCATTGACATGACACTTTGCGTCTGTGTTTGAGTTGAACAAACATCAGCTGACTCTACAGTGGAAAGAGACAGAGCTTTGTACCTTTTGGCCTCAAGAATGTGACACTGACATATAGAAGCATATTTGTGTAAAGGCTCAGATTTCAGTAAAATCAAAGGTGTTCCCTAATCAAGCAGTGTGCAAGATTTTGCTTTCACGGATCAATTATTCAATGATTGAACTAAACTAGAGTCTGTGTCTGTGTCTGTCCTCAGCGTTTGGGGCAGTTCTTCAGGGTAGCTTGTTTGGTTTGGCTGGGATCCTACCTGCAACCTACACTACACCCATCATGAGTGGACAGGGCCTGGCCGGTACCTTTGCTGCCTTCTCGATGATCTGTGCATTGGCCTGTAGGTGTCCCATCCACAGTTTTTTGTCACAATTTCAAATATATTTGGACATTTAGATTATAAACATGTGTGTGTTTGCAGCTGGATCTGCTCTGCAGGACAGTGCTTTTGGATACTTCATTACAGCCTGTGCTGTCATTCTGGTGGCCATAATGTCCTACTTTGTTCTCCCAAAAATGGTATGACTATAAAGCCTAAAGAAGCTTTTTGTGGGATGACATGCTAACATTATGAAAAATCTATTTCATTTTTTTCAGGAGTTTTTCCAGTACTATATTGAGAGCAATGGCTCCAATCCAACTGCTGAAGAGGAGAACAAAATGGACCTGCTTAAAAAAGGTACTTGAAACTCAAACCATAACACTGCGACTAGAAAAATTACTCATTGAGCAAATTCATTTAATTTAATGATTCCTTAATTAACAGCCAAAATGTGATCTAGCTCAACTCAATTGCTTCCACTATTGCCAAAGTTTCCTGAAATGTTTTGAGTTATGTTGCAACAGACGAACAAACTTTGGTGAAAACACAACAACATTAAACTAATTTTTTCCCTAAAACGTCAAAAATTCTTCCTGTTTTTGCCCATTAGCATTCACATGATCTTAAAACACTTCAACTCGTGTAGCTGTAATTGACTGTTTATTTAGTTCTCATATTCTGTTTCTGAGTAATTTTTCAGAGACTTCCTGATTGACAAAAGTGTTTGTTTTTCCAGAGGGTTCCACAGAGAAGAAACCAGTGATGAATCTCACTGAGGATGAAGGCAGGCCAACGGTGTCTGTCTTAAACATCTTCAAACAGGTAGACTTCGAGGTCTTTCTTCTCAAACATGTTTTAACGTATGTCTAACAGCCAGCCACATTTTCACCCACAATGTTGCTCTTTTCACAGATCTGGGTGATGGCCTTGTCTGTGTGCTTCATTTTCACTGTGACCATCGGCACGTTCCCCGCGGTGACCGCCGATGTGAAGTCCACTGTAGCAAACGGAGGAGCCTGGGGTAAGCAACTGCATATGTGGTTTGGTCTGTGCTGAACCTTCAGAGTCATAAAAATGAATACTTGATTGCAGAAACCTACTTCCTCCCTGTGTCCTGCTTCCTGCTGTTTAACCTGATGGACTGGGCGGGCAGGAGTCTGACAGCTGTCTGCATGTGGGTCAGTATCTGCCTCCCGACCTATACAATAGAGGGCGGTCAGTCCACTTTTAATGGAAATAAAAATGTAAATAGTGTTGCGCTCCTATCCTATTTTAAACTGGTTGTAACCCTAAACGATACCCAGAAAAGTTATATTATGGACCTCCTGGCATCTCTGTGTGGAGTGAGAGACAAATCCCCACAACTATTGTAAAGTGCTTTGTGACTCAGGTCTGGGAAAGACGCTTTATGAATAAAGATTATTTACTTACTTAGATGTGGTGGTACTCGCGAAGTGAATTGTTTCTTAGAACCACTATATTTTGCCAACATGTGTTTGGACGGCAAAGTGAAGCAAATCAAACGTTCACTAAGTTCTCTTATTTCCTGTCGTTGGAACTGTATACAGAACAGCTGATGAATGCCGCCTGCCTGTAGGAGGCCGAGGTTCAGAGTAATTGAGTTGAAAATGTTGAGGACTTAAGTGAACATGTACATAGTTGGTCAGCTGATATCATGTGAGATCATTCAACTGAACTGACCTGTGAAGGAAAGTCTCATATCTACCTCCACCAGGCCAACTATCCACATGTAGCAGTGACAAATGTGGACCATGAGGGGAAACAGAATATCCATAATAGGGCTAAGAATCTCAGAGTACCTCACAGTATGATACGTTAATATTTCCCATTAGTTTAAATAGGACAGCAGAGGGTCTTGTGGTGGTTGATGAGCAAACACTCCACATTTGCATATCTACAGTCACATTTATGATCGAAAGTCTTCTTCATTGTGTCTGATTGCATGCAATGCTCTTGTGTCTCCTCAGCCGGGGAAAGACAGCAAGTTGCTCCCCATCTTCGTGATCTTGAGGATTGTCTTCATCCCGCTGTTCATTCTATGTAACGTCAAACCACGCCACCACTTCCCTGTGCTCTTCCTCCATGACGCATGGTACATTACCTTCATGATCTTCTTTGCCTTCTCTAATGGATACCTGGCCAGCCTCTGCATGTGCTTCGGACCCAAGTAAGAATGAAGAAGTCACTCAGTTTTGTAATGAATGGTGAACATGACTGTGATGGTGTGCTCTGTGTAATAGGAAAGTGGCCCCACATGAAGCAGAGACAGCGGGCGCGATCATGGCTTTCTTCTTGTCTCTTGGCCTGGCACTGGGCGCATCGGTCTCCTTTGCCTTCAGAGCCATTTGCTAAAAACCAATGACTTTCAGTAGTTTTAGGATTGACTTGCACTGGGACAACTTCTGTACAACTGGACAAGCTGCGCTGCCTTTGACCAGCCACCAAAGGAAACCAAGATTTGGGTGACTTTGGTGCAACAAGAGAGAAGAGATCTGATTCATTATTCTCAAAGTTAGGGCCACCAGACAACCAGACTTCAGTGATGACATGTATTTTTTGGTGCATTTTTACCATTGCCTCAAATTGAAGTTGTATTTTAAGCCAAAAGTGTTATTTTGTGTTATTTACTTGTATGTAGCCTGTCACACATGCCAAAATCATATAACCAAATGTTTCAAGTGTCTTTCATACAGAACATGTATTATTACATCTGTGTATTTATCTGTAAGACTTAGGGCTCATTTAAATGCATATTATGTAAAAGGCAAATAATGTAAGTTTTCAGAATTGATAAGGGGTGGGTCTTTTTGTAGCAGTAAATGTATTATAAAGTCCATAACTATGAAATCAAAGACACATCCAACATGTCCAAGTATGCTGTGTTCAGAGGCTGCTGCTGGTAGACTTTAAGTTAAATTGTGAGACTTTCAGGCGACATCTGTTACTGATAGCGGTGGACGCAGAAGCGTTTGAATGAGATTTTAGCTTAATGCAAAATGAACATGCCACGGCTTTGCTTGAACATGATTTCTAATACTTCTCAATGTAATGACAGATTGTAAATGTCTTATAAAATGAAGGCAGTTTTATAATTTGTTTATCAGATCCTTTTTGCTTCCTTCTTTCCCGTTGCTGTTGACACTTTCTTAATAGCGCGATCAGTGATCTGTTAGTAAGGGGAAGGCAATAAAACCATGAAGACCATGACTATTATAAACATTTGTATAAATGTGTCCCCCCCTAGTGGCCTGTGTGCGGACGATCTTTTTTTATGATCAGACAAAACATTGAAAAGATAAAACTTATAGAAAACCATTACTTAATGTTTAAACATTTTATTCAAAAATAAATTAGCATACACATTTAAAAGGGAGATGCACAATTGCCAATTTGCTCGTAAGGAGACTTCCAGGATTGGAGTTGCTTATCTAAATTCCATAACAGTGGCATAAAATGAATGTAAACCTACAGCTGCAACTTACCATTTAATAAACGGTTAAGAAGACAAACCGTTTCAGTCGACTGAAACATGTTCACGTTTAAATATGATTCGAAATACATGCCCATTTGAAGATCATACCGGTTTTGCAGACGAGTGCTCAAAATGAGGAGCAAGATTCAAGCAAATGTTCAGTTCCAGTCCCCGTTATTTGACTTTCCCAGAAATAAACTTTGGATTAACAAAAAGCAGATAGTATGAGCAGATATTTCAAAAGACAAGCAGAATGTCAAACATGAACTAAGATCATAAAGCTTTGGAATATTGTAGCTTTTAAGAACGCAATGGAATATAATCAGAATGATGACAACTTAAAGCTGCATAGGCAACTAAAGTCTAAGTTATGTCTATTTGCTTCATGCAGAAAACTGGATACTGACATATAACAAAACAATGCAAAAGACTAGACTACAATCAAACAATATGACAGAGATTCCCACAGCGGTCTATACAGTAGTATCCCAGGGACAAACCCAACAGTTGGGGTCATTTTATATGTCATGTAAAATATTCAGTTGTTCACAAGAGTGCCAACTGAGCAGATCAGTAGCAGCCAACTGCACTGTAATGTAGCAGCAATTACCCTGAAGTGGCTACAGAGGTCCATCACAAATACATCAGCTCTTTGTGGACATGCACTTTGTGTTCAGCGGCACTGGGGGGCGACATTTAGCAATGTTACAGCAAATCAACACGGCCAGCATAGATGTGCAAACAAGAGGTGAGCTTTGGTGTTTGACAGTTCAGAGGAGACAGAAAGTCACTGAGTCTTTTGCTTCGTTTGCCGTGAGCTTGATTCGGTCAAACTGGCTTTAAGGGAGTTCACCACCGTCTGCCGGACGTTATCTTCCATATACTGTTCGCTTAGTGGCTTCAAAACCTAAAAACACAAGGCAACATTAGAAGAGATGCAACGCAATGAGATAAAGTAAATTCACTGAAAAAAAGGTTAAAAAAGAAATAAAAAGAATATCAACCAATAAATTTAGGACAAAAGTGTTAAATAAAAAAGGTACACCGAGACACCAAACTGAACCAAACCTAAAAAAAAAAGTAAAATAAAAAATTCAAACAAAGAATTATGTTCAATCCAAAACCGTTTATGCAGGGTGCATTTTCTCTGGATCCTGAGGTGGGCCTGGCCTGCCAGGGTTCATACATTCAATGACGGTGAGTTGCAGAGTTCATTTTCATCCAAAAAACAGAGAAAGGCTGAAGCAGTCAGTAAAGTGCAGAAAGTTTGAAGAAAAAGCGGCCGCTAGTTGATCTTCTTGTAATTGTTGTTGAGTGGAGACAGCGTTTGAAGTCCCATGGCCACTCCTGAGGGGAATGAGGGGAGCAGGGAGATGGGCCAGGTCAGGCGCCTTCTGACCGGTTCCACCACTTTAGAAAAGACCTTGGGACACCAGGGAGGACCAAAACAATTAAACAACGCTAAGGCGCAGAGACAGTATGCTAGAGAGGCAGAGAGAGACAGGGATGTGAAAGAATGCAGGATCGAGGGAAAGATGGAATTATGGGAGGAGGACAAAGAACAGGAACAAAAGCGAAACGTGAGACAGTAGCGCTCACCTTTCTGATGGTCCTCTGTGGAGCAAAGCAAGGGGCAGAGCATAGGCAACACACATAAGCACTTAGAAAATGCTTTCTATCATAAAAAGTCTACAACACATTACATATAATTGTAATACTCCAGTCCTGTTACCCACCTGTTCCCACAGCATCTCAGCCACCTGGTCTATCAAGGTGCCCACCTCCCGGTATTCTCCAGAATACTTCACATAGGCCCAGGCGCACAGGGCCATCAGGGCCAGCCCCATGATCATGTTTGCCATGGAGGCCAAAGTGCTCAAGCCGATGAAGCCGGTGACTCCTGACACAATGTAGGTGACAAACATGACGGCGAAGAGCGTGGCGGGGGTGCGGGCGGCGTAAAAGATATTTTTGCTGTCATTGTGTTTAGAGAAATTGACATAGGCCTCGTCCAGTTCGCCCTCTAGTTGGCCTTGATATTTCTGACAGAATTCATCGCCGCCCATTTTCTTCACCGATCGAAATAAACGCACAGAATGCTCTCGAAACTCTTCATGGCAGCGCTCCAGATCTGCCGGTGCAATGTATGGCTTATCTCCCCCACAAATCTGAGGGGCACAACACCGCATAATGGGATAAAAGGGACCAGAATTATCATACAAATGGTGCATTAAACTGCATCTACCTGTTCCATATTTTTGCTGTACAAATCTTTGGCTCCTGCTACGGCCGTCAGATTGTTGGCTTCAGCTGTGGCCTGCAGAAAGAACATATTAGAGTTCAATTAGTTCACATCTACAAATGTTCACCTTTTAGGTATGTCCCAAAATACCAACCTGCAGCATGGATTTGGGATGAGGCAGCTCCTCGCCTTGGTAAATCTTGATGTAGGCCTTAAAATACTCCACAAGATCTCTGCATGTCACTTTGCTACCTCCAATTTGCTTCTCCACCAAATTCTCCGGAGCCAACAGAAGGGGCACAAGGCTGGACAGCTCCCGCTTGAAGTCATCATCAATATCTACAAGAATGAAGTCAAAGATTCATAGCAGCACCAGTCAAGTGCATATCAAACAGCATTGGATGTTTATTACGCACCTCTCAGCCTGCCGTCAAAGTAGGGGTTGGTGGAGACCTTGAGGCCAGGGTGCGGAAGCAGGAAGCAGCCGATGTTGGAGAAGCAGGAGTGGATGTGCTTCCTCACGTTCTGCAGCTCCTCGTGCTGGTTCTGCTTCACCTGAGTTTGTGCACACACCACACAAGCCAAAAGAAAAGCTTTACTGGTTATGCTCCACGTGTGAGAGCGTAAGCAATAAATGAAATCGTTTTTTTGCAAGTACTGGGTGTTGCCTTTTAATTATGATCCATTAGCTCGAAATAATGATAACAATCTAACACTAAATGGAATCCATTAGTGTGGCTATTACCTGAAGTCTTCTCTGCAGGAAAGTGTTCCCGCCTTCAATCCCATAGTCATGCTCATAAGGATAACTCCAGTCACGGATGAGGAACATCAAAGACTACAACACACATCCTCCATTAGACCGAGTTACGGCTTTTCATACAGTATCTGATCTGATCAAATCAACAGAAACATACTTGAAAGGGTTTTGAGGTGATCTCCTCCATTGCAAGACGTCCATACTCTGTAAAAAGCTTCATACCACAAAAAGTACACATAAAAATCTGTTCAAAAAGAACTTTGCAAAAAAGATCAAACTACACTCACTTGTAAATGCTGCAGGTCGTCTTCCTGAATGTTCTGGGAGAGATTGTAAACCTGAAAACAAGGCGCAAACGCAGCGTGAACACAGGGTCAGGGATTGGCACATTCTTAGCGGGTCTCGAGCCCCACCTGAACAGAGCTGGTCATTGTGCTGAGGGCGAACACCGTGGCGCAGTCTTTGATGGTGGACTGACTATCGAAGGCTCCCTGCGTGTCCACCAGGAGCACGGCCACCTGCGCACAAACACACACTCGTGTTACGACGAGGGAGGAAAACTGCTGAGTGAGAGTGTGTGAGTGAGACAGCTGTGAGCTCACCTTGCTGCCATCTGGTTTCTCCACCACAAAGACTTCACTCCAGACCTGGATTCCTGTGGTTTCCCTCTCGCAGCCTCCTCTCCACGTGAACCCCGTCAGAGGGTCGTCGTCACCACCGATCCACGACTCGCCCTGCTGCTGGAACAATGAAGCATAGAAGGAACAGTTCAAAATCGCTGCAAAATACTGAGACAGAGTTCATTGTTTTCCTTTGGGTTCACTGGTGCTGATTATGTAGCAGCTAACCACAATGGAGAAAGACTGCAAAAAACAAACCATTTGAAAAGGCAAATAACAGCAGAGCCTGCCACTTTGACAATATAAATGGAGATCTAGTTCTAGAGCAGAGTTACACAAACAGCTACATCTCTGAACTAGAATTTACAAGATTTATATTTACTTCTTTATCATGTTAAAGTCAGAGATGTTGTACTTAATTCTTGCTGTTCATTATAGATTATAGACAGCTTCCTTATTATGCTAAAGCTAGAGATGTCATTTTGTTCAGTAGAGTTTAGTATAGAGTTATTTAGTATAAAGTTTAGTATAGAGCTGTGTTCATTTATCTTATCCTGTGCCCTGTTCATTCCTACTGTTCTGTAACTGGCGATGCAACACTGAAATTTCCCTACTGTGGGACGAATAAAGGATCTCGTAATCTTAATAGCAGCATTTCATTTTACATACACTATCTGTATGGACGTACGTCAAGAACATAATTCAAATTCTTTCAAAGTGAAGATAAACCAGTTCAGTTCATTTCAAATTATCTTTACTTAAATCTCTTAGCTCCTCTCGATACGTAGAGTTTGAGTATGAACCCAAAGCACTTGTCTCCACACGCCAGCTCATTTTTACAGGACCATGTTTAAAACGTAATAATAAAATCTGTCAACGCCTAGGTCCCTGGTGCGCCTAAGACACACACCTTGTAGGTAACGCCTTCCATTGTTCTGTTGCTCACCTGTGTGTGCATGTAGCGTAGCATGAAGTCCAGTAGGAAAGACTTTCCCTTTCGAAACGCTCCCGCCACAGACACCACCACCACATTCAGGTCCTTCACATCGTCGTGCAGCAGGATCTTCTCCAGCGCCGCGGAGTCCAGCTCAAAACTGTGCTCATCTTCCTTGGCCAGGACGATCTGGATAGGCCGCGCTTTCTCTTCCTCTACCACCTTAAACATGTCCATGTGTTACATTTTAAAGCCAGGTCATTAAGGATGTGGAAAACAATCAGAACACACACCGGTTCTTCTAGGATTTCTTCATCTGATGGAGTGGGATCAGCATCTAAGTCAGGGAGCAAAGTCTGGCTCTTGGGAAGAAAATCTTCCTCCAGGTCTTCAGACAAGGCGAGCAGAGGCTTCGCCTTGGGGCGAAGGATTGGGACATCCTGCACTCCTCCTCTAAGTCCTAAAAGAACAGTACAACAGTCAAGGAAGAGAACATATCAAATTTTATTCATTCAAACCTGCACACTAAATATTTATAAATATTCACAGAAAAAATAAAATAAATACATGTACAGGGTTTGAAAAGGGACTGGATAAAGCAAATGCTTATATTATTCTAAGCCCTCGCATAATGTTGCTCAATTGTGTTTCGGATTCAGAAAATGTTATTGATCCCAAAGTGCAATTCATTTGCAGCAGAGTCTCAGTAGAACACACAGACTACACAAACACACAGTTCACGCAGCAGCAGGTTACAATATAAGTTAAAAACAACACAATACACAACAAGCATATACATTCCTCAATTATGGACAGAATTTCAGTTAGTCACATGCTCAATGTAAAAGGAAACAACAATTTTAAGCAATATTCAGGCAAACAATATTTAGAGGAACCCAAGCAAAAAGCAGGTATGTACCTTTACATGAAAGCAAACCATATTAGCTTTAAGAGGGTTAAGAATAACAGATTTGTACTCAACAGTACTAACAAATTATATTTGTTTCATCCTTGATTTCATGTCACGTCGTTGACAATAACGTGTGGTTTCACTTCACAAGCTGAGATTACATTTGTGTCCTGAGCTAGATTCGGTCCCATTGCACAGTGTCCATGTGGGTCAGGCTCAGAAATAGAGCAGAGGCGCTAAAACCACAAAAGATGAAGGACACAGACTGTGCACGGCAGTGAAAGCCACAGTTAAAGTTTGTACTGTTGTTTTTGATCCAGAGCGTGGCCTCAGGAGCATGGGGCCTTCCTTCCTGTCTGGGAACATGGCAGCACTTGAAACTGCACCAAACTAGACAGGCAGCAAACACATTATTTCACAATCTAGAAACTACTTAACTTTTGATGAAAGGCCAATACAAAAGTACTTTATTTTGTCCCAACAGAAAGTCCTGTACAACTAATCATTTCTCTGTGAACAAATCAGACAAGTTTATCTTATTAGAATACGTTTAAGAGCCTCAGTCACCATTTCTCAGTTCTGTCTAAAACACATGCTTGTGGAACTACTGTAGTTACAATTTGTTTTGATGACTTTTTTGTGGTTTTAAAGTAGAGTGCTTGAGCCTAAATGTTCACTGAATGCCATTTTCCTCAGAACAATGTTCATAGATTTGTTTTAAATCATCAAACAATTAACTATAAAAACCTACTTATCGTCTTCACGACATGTGACATGTGTTTCTAATGAAACGCCCTGATATTAAATGACACTCAATCACTCAACTAAACTGGTAAAACTACTGTGGATACAGCATTACTCACACAAATTTACCTGAGGCGTTTGTTGAGTATAAGCCACGTTGAAAATACACAATAAATGGAGCTCATGAACAGGTCTCGAATATGACGTAAAAAAATACGATTGTAAGTAGGAGCTTTTGCAACATCCCTTTGATAATAATGGTATACTGTACATGGACTGACCCTAGAACCAGTCATTGTAAGTCTGACTCAAGAATGACTCCTACTGACTTCTAAATATGTATTTACTCTGATGATCATTTAATTATTTTAATATTTCTTAAATGTTGTCTACTTGAGTGATAATGACATAATAGTCATGCAAGCCTTATATCTTTTTACTTTTTGAACTTGTTTGCACCTTGAGCCAAACCAAATTTCTCGTTTGTGACTCCCTGTTACTTACAATGACAATAAAAATAATTCTGATTCTGTTTTTGATATTTGGCTTTGGCATCTGCAACATGTCTGTAATGGATCCCATGAACATGGTATCAGGACATCAGTATCAGATGAACATGCCTGTTTAGAGTCACAGTGCCAATCATCCACAACTTTTAATCTGCAGTGTTGTATAGAAGATTATTTCAAAATTGCAACAAGTATGTTTAAAAGTGAACAGAGACACCTTACAGCCTCCATTATAAAGTCTTACAATCAATCATGAAGCAGCCAACTTCTTGTGTCATTTCAGGCTCCACAGAACAAGGCCAGGACTAAAATTAGCCCCTTACTCCTTATCTTACAGTGGGCCTCGCAGATGTTAACTGGCCTACTTGTGTTACTCTTTGTGTACACACCAGACAAGCTGCTTTGTGCTACTCACCAGTATTAGCGAAAGTGACAGTGAATGCGATCAATATGGAAAGCAGTATAGTTTAAATACACTTTCTGATTGCCCACCCAGATAAGTTTAAACGACCTATTTCAAAGCCTCTCACACTGGAGCGCATGCTCCTTAAAGTGGTGCACCATTTCATCTGCTCTTATAATTGATGTTGCTTTTGATTAATAGTGTATTTTTTCCCACTTTGTCTTTTGATTAGTTTTATTATTAAAAACTACGCATGAGGAAAAAATGAGGAAGAATTAATGAATGATTATACAGTATGGGCGTATCTTCTTTTATAGCCGAAACATTAGACAAACTTTACAACAATGGTGTATGTTTGATATCTGGTGGTACAGAATAGTTTTTGCTTCAAAAATCTTAAGTTACCCCTACTTTCACGACCCCAACCAGTGGTGGTCAGAAGCAGGTGCCAGAAATGTTAATGTTTAAAAGATAAACAAAAATCAATAGTTTTGGCCAGCAGGCACTGTGGGCACAGAGCACTCAGATATTATACAGGCTAAAGTCTTTGAGGCATATAAAATTGTACACAAATCACACATTAAAACACTGGCCAACATTTATAACATGGTGTGAGTTAAATACAGAGCAGAAGCAGCAACGACAAAAAATCTATGAAATACACTTTTGTTTTAAAAGATACATTTAAGATGTCAGCAACCATCAAACTAAGAGATCTCTGGAGTCATAGTTTAGGTCAAGGTTTCACTGTGAAAATCACAATCAGTCGGCTGAAGAGGACAAAGTACAGATGATAATGTTGTGTTTATAAATGTTGCCTCAGTATCAATTTGTCAGCATTTCATTACACACAGAAATTATGCTTGAGCAAGCAACTTCAACAATGTGTGCATTTACATACAGCCAATAAGACTATTGTTATCATTAGTCCACATGGTGGCTGTGGTTTTCATTATATGTAATAATGACACTTGTTTAGCAATGTCATTTTTATCTTTGGCTATAACCAAATCATTGAACCCTGTACACTTGTAGAAATGCTCATGTGCTTACAAGCAAAAATAACTTGGTCCCAGGCATTTGAATACACATGGTATGAAATCAAATTAGAGGATAACACAATTTGCGAGGTCGAAAACACGAGTGTGAATGAATGCATACATTTTCAAGTTTCAAATAATCCAACTACACATGCTTTCCTGTTGCACCATCAGCTGTGCATTAGGAGACCAATAATAGTCCATGTTTAGCTGGATGACAGGATTATTCAAACCACGTGTACACACAATAAGTCGTAACAAGTTGTACAAAGATCATCCAAGAGAGAAAGCTACAGTAGGCAAAGTTCAAAGCCACTTATATGCCAGAGCAAAACAGCTTTTTCAGACAACACACAATGAAACAAAAGATAAAGACGACCCGTTAATGATTAGGCAAAACAAGTGAAAGCGAGGTAGGTGTTGTGGTGTAAGTTGTATCCCGTGTTAGAAATGACCGCAATGAAAGGATTGAGTTGTGAGCGACAAATAACATATTTTTGTCATAAAACGCTCTTGTTTATTATTGTTTAGCGACTTTTATTTAAACATATTTCCCCGTAAATACATCCGTGGGATCTGGAAAGAGCTACTGCATTCGCCTGCACACATATACACACATAAATACATACACACACAGACACTGGGCTGCAGAAGGAACGTGTTTGGCATTGACAGAAACCAACGCGGCGAAAGCGACTAGAACTCATCACAATCTCCTCGGTATTTGTCTCATATCAGGAAGGGTGTTTGTAAAGAAATCCCCCGGTAAAAGAGTTGCGGTTTACCTTCTCCGGGGACTCTTGTTTTACAGTTGGAGTCGTAGTGATTTCTGCTCCTCACACCGCTCACCTCCGCCATCTTGCTCCTCTGCTCCTCTGCTGTGACGTCAGAGGGGCTGCTTATTTCTCTCTCCTGGTGCACGACCATAGACGAGGACAGCCCCTGGACAGCAAATAGACTGTAAACATTAACAATAATTAAAATCCAGCTGGTTGGGTTTCAGTTTGAGACGTGTGCAGTGTTGTAAACAGAAATGAATTAAGATTAAGATCCTTAATTCGACCCACAGTGGGGAATTTTCAGTGAACCATCACAAGTTAAAGAACAGGTGGGAGCACACAACACAAGATAAGGGAATATTTAGTATGGCACAACTGACTACTAAAAAATTACAATGTAATAATCAAAATATGAGCATTTACTTGTAACTGTTTTAATTAACGTGGTTGTTTTATGTGTCTTTCTGTACATTTCTCTTGCCTCCCTTGATAACGGGGGTTTCATGTATTTATTTTTATTCATACTGGAATTTTCCAGTTTGAATAAAGGTATATAGAGGAATAATAGATGTTGTAATAAATATGTCTTGCCATTTACAATTTGAGACTGGGGCTTGTCCTTATAACATACTGAAATCCTTCTAGGCAAGTTTACAACACATTTACTTTTGTTTAATGCAGCGCTGAGATGCCTATACTTCCCTATAGTTCCTCCAGCATGAAGCCTCAAGACATGTGGGATAGGCCCAGAACACATCCCCATCCCATCCAAAACAGAGTGCTCTTCTCAATGTGGAGGAGCAGCTGCTCTACTCCAAGCTCCTTTTGTGTGAATGAGCTCCTCACCCTCGCACAGCGCCTCTGCAGAGGTGAGTAATTTCAACCCCATGTAAAATGTGTGTCCTTGTCCTTTCGGCCATTACTACCCTCATGAGGGTGGTATTGTAGATTGAGTTCTAGCCTCAGCTCCTTCTTCATCACAACAGCCACAGAGTTTTGCGACTCTATCTTTCTTCATCACATGTCATTTTTGGTCCTTCACACTTTATTTTTGGATGTGATTGTGCGTGTCCCTCCAGCCGTTGCACAACACAGATTAGAACATGCTGTATGAATGAATGATGATAAACATAAATATAATCAAATACATAATACAGGCACCAGGTATCAATACTGGTGTCAGTTTCCTGACACAACACAACACAATTCCTAATCTGAAATGTCGTGTTCCCCTGTTTGGGAAGCACTGCTTTAGAGGTTGCTGTGAGGCTGGTCAAGTGCATGGTGCTTGCTCTCAGTACAGCACAGCCAACTCATCATTCCTCACATGCCAATGGCTTGATGTATCGAGGAACAGCTAGGCCTGCTACAACTTAATACTACCGGGATTTTACTCCCTGTTTGGTCCATTTGTGTGGACTTAACCGTGACTCGGTATCTCTTATGCTTTTGATATCGCTGGGATAAATAATATGTTGTTCAACCTCTTCTCTGCAATTGCAAAATGTCCAAGCTCGATGTTTTCTTTATCTCAGGTTTCTCACAAACAGGCCTGTCCAAATGCAGTTTTGTAATCGCCTTCTCGCTTTACCACTGGCCACTCAAAGAAACTATTTGGAGAATGTTAACAATTACCTTTATGATCATATTTCCACATTGGTGTTTGATTAACAATAACAAATGAGAACTTTGATAGGAATATTATATATTTGTTCTATATATTTGGATATAAATGCACGTTATTCCTGTTTTCCTAATAATTTTTTTTCTCTTTTTTGAGGATAATTTTGTGACAAATGTATATATTTAGCCCCTTCTCATGCAAATTGCGAATTAAAACTTGATTTTGAACAGGTTATTTGAGAATATATAATATTTTGTATTGAAATGTAAAAAGTGATAGTGATGTCATTGTGTGTACAAGATGAGACCATGGATATTCATCTTGTGCACATATGGTCCTGTTTGTTTCTCATTACATGTGGTTATGTTTCCAAATCAAAAGTCATAAAGAGTATTCATAAGTGGATCCACTTACACCTGTGTTTGTTCAGCTGTTCATATCCAGTATTATCACACATCCATTTATGTCTTCTTGTTTCGTGCCCTGGACAATAAACATTTAAATTGTGTTATCATCACTGGCTGCAGTTTACGACCAGCACAGAGACTCCTGCAGTTGTATTGGGAATGAGTTCGAGCCCTAATGGTTAAGTGTGTTTGCACAAGCTTTACACATATGTTTGCATTGCTGTCTGCTTATCTCCACCCAGTGTTCACGAATGTCAAAAGGAAATGACAGAAGGTGTGACCAAAGTGGATGTTTCTCTCATTTGGTGATAGTTGAATAAACAGACAACAGATTTCTCCTGCTCCTTGCAAAATGAGTATGAAGCTCTTTGAACGGAATAGCCTGTGGTGAGGGCATCTGGGAGTTCCTGGATCAACGCTCTGTCCCTATTTGTCCTCCAACATATCCAGGAGATCCTGCTCCAGCTCAGATTATATGTGACATTTAGAAACACACTGTCTCTTTTGTGTCATGTCAATAAACACATTGACTCATTCTGCTTTAACACGTAAGTACAAACCAAACTAGACACAGCAGACAAGTGTATATACTTCTGTGTTGTTGATAAATGACGTACGAGGGTCAGGGAGTGTATAGCCATGCTAATCTGTGTCAGTCCTCTCCTATATTCTTAGCTTGTGCCATCAGGCAGCAGGAATATGAGATGTCAAGCTCTGATAATTTTAGAACATGGTTAAGGGAACTGGGTAAAGAGCATGCTGCAGATTATTATCATGAGTGTAATCTACAATAGGTTCATTTTTGTAATATAAACAATTGGAGATTTTCTCTTAATAGTAAAAAGTGTGAATAGAGGCAATTGCTGCATCATTAAGTAAATCAAGAAGTATCGACCACATTTTTCTGTCTCTTTAAAAAAGCAGGTCCTGTGTTCGACTCCACTCCCAGGTCTATCTGTGTTTGCATGTTCTCCGCGTGCCTGCGTAGGATTCCTCTGGGTGCTACGGTTTTTTGTGAAAGGTTGTGATGGTCAGAGGTTTTGATGCACCAGTGTCATTACTTTCTGTCATTACTTGTGAAAAGACAGGCTATTTAAGTGCTTTGCATGGCATTGGTCTTTGAAATGTCCTATATAAATAAAGATTACATTCTTACATAATATCTCTCAAGGTTGAATCTCAATAAATACCAAATGAGAACTCTAAAAGTAAATAAGCATATACGAATTTCTATACAATTCTTTTTCTATACTTCACTATACTTGTAGGCGCTTTTTGTTTGACACAAGGTATTTCAGGTTACATATCGTTTCCAAAGTAAATAGCTCCCTCTAGTGGTAAATGAACACCATGGATGGTATGGATCCACTCGTCTTACATGTTATCTGTAAAAGACGAGCAGACATCTTAAATGGTATTCTATAACATTAAAGTCATTTTTTCCCCGAGGTTGAGATTGTTTTCTTTATGGATAGTTTATTAAAGATAGTTTGTATGTCTTTTTTTGTAATTTTTATTTTATTTTAAATAATGCATCTGTTTTATATAGCGCTTTGGACACTCAAAAAACACAAGGCAAAAGATTCATGAGGAAATGATGTACAGGATATTAGGATATTAGCCTCTAATATCCCGTTCCACGGGGAATTCTTTTTGACACCCCTTCTATTTTATTCTAATATCTACAAATTTAAGCCTGAACTAGCGCCATGAACATGAAATATGTTTGTTTTTATTTACAGAGGCCATGTTGCTTGATGTCACCACGTGGGGGCAGCATTTGCTAATCCACGGTGTAACCCATGGACGTAACCTGCGTATAACTTTAAATCTCCAGTTCATCGGAGACTGGACACTGGCGAGGTGCATGCTGAGCTAAGTTGTCGACAACGTTTCTACAGATTACAACATATATTTAATAGTACACATTGAAAGCAGTTTATAAAAGAATAATTTCAGGCCTAATATATAGTTCCTCCAAATCCTCTAAGTTGTAAATAGTTATCCGTGTTGACGCATGAGTCCGAGCTAACACGGCCATGCTAGTTGTATTCTACTTTGGACCTGCATATAGATCCTCCTGTAACTAAAGTTATTATGTTGGTATTCTGTTCACATTTGCCGTATTTTACCAGCCCTGACACTGATGTTGTATGTGTTCCCTGACATATGCCTCTCCTTTGTCCTCTGATATTATGAAGTGATGTGGGCAGGCTGTGTTTTTGTGGAAACAGGTTTATTGTCGCACTCTGCATATGTTGTGCTTGTGGTGCTGAGTCTTTGCATTGTTGCTGGTTGTCATGGAGTTGTACATCACTTCAGAGGAGCAGGACAAAAGGCTGTGAGTGCAGAGTGGTCATGAAATATATACTTAAATCCCCCACCCCTGTAACTGAACACTTGGATCATTTCTTTTTTATGTGAGTCTGTGCAGGGATTCTGGTTTGACTTTCACGAAGAAATAAAGTCACAAGGGATTCAGTTGCAGCAGTTGTCAATTAAGGATGTCATGCTGTTTATTGAGGATACATTCATTGCCTTTGGTGTGGATAATTTGATACTGAAGAACTCCATAAAACTGACAAGTGCCCATTACATGTACTGTTGACAGATGAGATCATACCCTCTGTTTATTTCTATTTTAGTTTATTTAGTATTTCTATTGATTTGTCTTTCGGCGTAAATATTGTTTAAGGTACCTGATTTTTTTTGCATAATTTGCATTACTGATAATAATAATAAAAAAAAAATCCCCTACTCCCATGATCAACAATAACACTCAAAGAACGATTTACTTATGGAAATGTGTACATTAAATTCTGCATATTCAGACCATTAAAAATTCCCATTACCTGTCGATATTAGCTTTTAGAGTTTAAGTTTGACAAAAAATATGGGCCTTTCTGAGTGGAGTTTGCATGTTCTCCCCGTGTCTGCGTAGGTTTCCTCCGGGTACTCCGGTATCCCCTACCACTAAAAACATGTCCAATAGTTCTGGCATGCCCCTCCTGTACTGGCGACCCCACTCCCATCTCTGTGTGGAGTGAGAGGACAAATGCCCAAAAATAATATCAATTGTAAACCGCTTTGTGACTCTGGTCTGTGAAAGGCGGTATATAAATAAAGATTACTTACTTACTTACTTATATTTTCAGGGAATATGAATCGATTTGTCTTACTGCACCAACTTCCCCAGCTTGAACTCAAAGGAGAGTAGGCTCTCCTTTGAGTTAGATGCAAAGATGTTTATTATTTTTGCACAGTGCAAAATCGGAGCAGAAGCTACAGAAGCTGTCTTGAATGACTTCACAACACTGATGATTTGCCAGTTGGAGAAACTCAAAATATCGCTTTGGTAACAAGATAAACTATGATAAACTAGCCACAGTGAAGGAGAGATCCAATCCCATGGACAGACAGGCTGTAGAAGAGTCCAGGACTGACACACATCCAAAGCAGAATGCATAACAGCAGGAACTACTGAAACTATACATTCATTTCTGTTATTACTTTTGCCACGTAACTGCCACAACGCTTATTGTCATTTGTGTCAATCACTGTGTCTTTGCCTTTTATTTAATTTACTGTATCTGTTTTTAGTTGACCAATTATAAGGCTAAATTCAAAGGGCATGTGCTGTCTTGGCCTGGATTATCCACATCCAAATACATCTGGGTGCAAAAGAGTTAAATATTGTTGAATCTTGTTGCTGCTTATTAATGACAACCGGCAGGAGACAGACCCTTTCCCCTTTTAAACGCTCAGATCCTTTGTGCTGTTCTTTAATAGGTAAACGTTCTCCTCTCCAGGCTGGGCAGTGGAGCCTCGGGGCCGGTCCTCTGAAAGGGAAAGTCAGAACAGACTCGGGGCCAGGCCAGCAGCACATGCAGCAGGGGGCCTCATCACTCTCTCCACACTTCTGCTGTCACACTATTGTTCCTGTGGCATGACTCTGGCTCAGACACAGGCTCCCAGGTAACTGCTCCTCACTGTAAAGGGGCCTATACTGTACATTCAAGTACATTAAAGCTGGTGCCTATTACTTATTATTCCATAAATAACACTTTTAGTTTGTCCCAATATAGAGTAAATTGTAAATTTAAGTATTTTGTGAAAAAATCAGAATGTGCTGTCTTCATTTTGTTTAATGTTTTACCCTTTGCATACTTGTAGGAAAGATCCCTGTGAGTCACTATTTGACGCTTTGGGCTGAGAGCTGATTGGCTGAAGGAGGGAGGTCTCTCTGTTTCGCTTTTCTGCATTAAAAGATCTTAAGATGTGACAGAGGCAAAAACACATGCATGAGAAAACTAGCGATAGAACTGAACTGTTTGGAGAGTGAGGAGATAGATATAGAGATAGTGATAGAGATAGATAGATAGATAGATAGTGATAGAGATAGATAGTGATAGAGATAGATAGAGATAGATAGAGATAGACAGATAGAGATAGAGATAGATAGATAGAGATAGATAGATAGAGATAGATAGAGATAGACAGATAGAGATAGACAGATAGAGATAGACAGATAGAGATAGAGATAGATAGATAGAGATAGAGATAGATAGATATAGACAGATAGAGATAGACAGATAGAGATAGAGATAGATAGATAGCGATAGATAGATAGAGATAGATAGTGATAGAGATAGATAGAGATAGATAGAGATAGACAGATAGAGATAGACAGATAGAGATAGAGATAGATAGATAGAGATAGATAGATAGAGATAGATAGATATAGACAGATAGAGATAGACAGATAGAGATAGAGATAGATAGATAGCGATAGATAGATAGAGATAGATAGTGATAGAGATAGATAGAGATAGATAGAGATAGACAGATAGAGATAGATAGAGATAGATAGAGATAGACAGATAGAAATAGAGATAGATAGATAGAGATAGATAGAGATAGATAGTGATAGAGATAGATAGAGATAGATAGTGATAGAGATAGATAGAGATAGATAGAGATAGACAGATAGAGATAGAGATAGATAGATAGAGATAGATAGATAGAGATAGATAGATATAGACAGATAGAGATAGACAGATAGAGATAGAGATAGATAGATAGAGATAGATAGATAGAGATAGATAGATATAGACAGATAGAGATAGACAGATAGAGATAGAGATAGATAGATAGAGATAGATAGTGATAGAGATAGATAGAGATAGATAGATTGAGATAGATAGAGATAGAGATAGATAGATAGAGATAGATAGATAGAGATAGTGTTATGTGCATTGGAAGATTCCTAACCCTAACCCCAGCTTCGACTCATCACACAAGGCACAAATAATGGGCTGATGTTGTAGCATCTCATTATATGTATACAGTACTGAGTACACCTTACTGCTGTGGGTAAAACAAATGCAGATACAAAGTATGGTAGAATATGCAAGTGAAGCATCAGTCCTTTGTATTAGATTGTCAAAGTTCTATTTGTTGAAGTTGGAATTTTATCCTATAGAATTATAAAATAATCTATAGACCCTGAACCGTTTGTTTACACTGCATAAAGCGGTTTATGTCATTGGTTTGCTGCTGTTAAGAACTCGATAATCACATGCTTTTGGGTGAACAGACGTAATGGTTCTTACCCCCTGGTGCAAAGATATAAAGCAAAAGAACAAATCCATCAGGTTCCATGCTGAGATTTTTAAACACACTTCTTTTTCCCCTCAGAACATTTACTTTTTCAGTCAGTAATTATCGTTTGTTTTAATTGCACAACATCATTCACAATACCCTGAGCAGATATGATTGTTTACAAAACAGAGCTACACCAAGACTGTGATCAATCATTTCCAAACCATTTCCACATTCTTAAAACAAAACTTTTTGACTTTAACATGGACAGCAACATCATTCCATTGTAAATTAGGAGAATTTGATTGGACGCCAGCCTGAGAGTTTTATGTTTTCATGTTTATATATTTGATTTTAACAATAAGAAAATGCTTTAAAGGTGTAATTTCTACAGTTGCTCCAAATGAAAAAACAAAACAAAAACGAATGTGACTTTTTTAAAGAATATTTTCCTTGAATTGTTTTCATAGGCTTAGAATGTGAATTATAAATGTATATGAGAGCTGAGGACACTCCATGTCAATGCGTCATCTTGGAAATAGATAAGGGGCAAAAAGGATGCGAGAATTGCGTTTTCGTTTCGCAAGTGCTACTAAAATTGTTGCTTTCACCGTGACCTCACAAGTTTGAAGTAGTGCATAATACACAACTTTCTTCACACCCACAGTAATGAGAACGAGGAAGAAAACACGGGCCTCGGGATGTTCTGACTCGTTCCGTGCGCAGTCTAACTACTGTATCACAAGTTTCAATTAAACTTATTCAGGGAACAAGCCTCAAATAAAACACACAGAATCCCCACAAAACAAACGCTACAATACGTTTATCACCTGCGTGAGTTTGGCTGTTCTGTTTTTTTACCTGGTGATGCAGATATAGGGCAGCGTGAATAAAGCTGATACTAATTTGAGCTTTCAGCCACAGTTCTGCCGTCTCAAATTATTGTATCAAGACGTATGGAAAGATCCGGTCCTTTATCAAACTAAAGGACTCTTTCCCTGGTGGCCCGGTGAATGATTGAGAGTCACTGTCAAAGACGACATATTGTCCATCGAAGGCTTCCGTAGTACTCTGGACTGCAATATATGATCTCAATGCCAGATTTGAGAATTATAAATATAGTTACAATGATGTATTCAGAATTTGACACAAAAATCTTGATTTGTTTCCCTCAGTTTTTAAAATTGAGTAAAGTTAATACTGTTTATTCCTGGTTGGCCATGGTCTGCAGTTGTGACATAGGTAGAGGTAGTTACAAAAAGTAAACTTGAGCCAAATGGTGCATTGCATGAGTGGATGACTTCCAACTTAAAAACAATAAGTTAAATATTACTTTTACTTCCAACTTGGACACACAGAGAAAACGCTGATGCCAGAAATAGCAGATCCTATACGGCAGCGTAAGGAAAGTATAATATATTACAATATTTAAGATATTGATGGCTTTGATGCTACTTTCTTTCTTATCAGTTCACCAGCTGTCAGTGAACCTGCTCCTGCTCAGGGCCTCAGCCGCTGCAGTTGGAAATGAGCTGTTATGCTAACCAGTGCTAATGTCTTTCATGCTTTTCAATGCTAATAACAAAAATAAAACTGTTACTGTAAAGGCTTGCGTCTCCTGTATGGCGACTCCGATCTCATGTGTGCGGCTACTCCACCTCTGCTGCTGTGACCCGTCCTGTTCCACCCAGAGGCTACTCCACCTCTGCTGCTGTGACCCGTCCTGTTCCACCCAGAGGCTACTCCACCTCTGCTGCTGTGACCCGTCCTGTTCCACCCAGAGGCTAAACCACCTCTGCTGCTGTTACCCGTCCTGTTCCACCCAGAGGCTACACCACCTCTGCTGCTGTTACCCGTCCTGTTCCACCCAGAGGCTACACCACCTCTGCTGCTGTGACCCGTCCTGTTCTACCCAGAGACTACTCCACCTCTGCTGCTGTGACCCGTCCTGTTCCACCCAGAGACTACTCCACCTCTGCTGCTGTGACCCGTCCTGTTCCACCCAGAGACTACTCCACCTCTGCTGCTGTGACCCGTCCTGTTCCACCCAGAGGCTACTCCACCTCTGCTGCTGTGACCCATCCTGTTCCACCCAGAGGCTACACCACCTCTGCTGCTGTGACTCGTCCTGTTCCACCCAGAGGCTACTCCACCTCTGCTGCTGTGACTCGTCCTGTTCCACCCAGAGGCTACTCCACCTCTGCTGCTGTGACCCATCCTGTTCCACCCAGAGGCTACACCACCTCTGCTGCTGTGACTCGTCCTGTTCCACCCAGAGGCTACTCCACCTCTGCTGCTGTGACCTGAAGGGATGTTGCTATTATTAAGCAACAGTTTACTATTGTTAGCTTTTTAGAATGATCAATTTTATTTTCTATTTTTGCTGCTATTGGACACCTGAATTTATCCTTCGGGGATCAATAAAGTGTCTATCTATCTGTTGAGCGCAAGCCATTGATTTGAATAGGGCACCATCTTGGATCTCCGGGGCTTGATGGGTGCACCTGTGGTATGCACTTTACTAACTCTAACTCTCAGACTTTTGTATACTTTATATTCTACTGTCAAATTCACAAACTTTATTTGGAGTACTGATTATAATGCAGCTCTCGCACCTTGAAATGTGTGTGTGTAAACGTGTCTCTCTGCTGTACGAGCCCCTCACCTCTCATTACACCTTGATTAACACTTGTATTCTAGCACTGCTCCATGAAACACCAGCCATATGTATGTATTTAGGGGTTTGCCAGTAAAGTATTCTGTTTAAATGCCTGCACTTGTCCGAGTGAAGGATTTTTCAGACTTTAATTGTTTACATAGTTAAGAGAGATACAGTTTGTGCTCACATTTGAAGTCACTGATCAGTGTTAAACGCTATCTGCAGTGCTCCACAGCTTGTTAATGTGAATGGCTAATGCAGGCTCCCTTCTATTACATCTAAACTAATGTGTTTGTCTGAGTATATCAGAGCAATAGCAAAAGTTCATTCTCAAGCTGTTGCCTACTAACTCCAATTACACCATTCACATGTGAAATGGTTATATGTGGTTCAGTGTTACAAATATTGTCAAATGAATCAAATGCAGATGAAATTGTTGTATAAGCAAAGTACCACAAATGTGTCACTGAAAGAAATGATTAGAAATTTCAAAACGCAAATGGATTCAAAATGAATAAACAATAAATAGCACTTGAAGTTAACTTTACAGAGTGGTCAATCATATCATCAATCAAACAGTTCTAAGATTTACATTTCTAAATTCAAAGGAGAAATTCATCCTAACTTTCACTGAATGTGCCTCAGTACCACCAAAAGGTGTAGTGTAGTTAACCTTATTATTCAATGTCTTTTTAGAATGGCATTTCACAAAGATTTTCACATAACCTCTCACACATCAGTAGTGATGCTGATGTGTCTGTGGACACTGTCATTCCCAGTGGTGCACTCTCTCTCCTCTCTGGCGTCACGCTGCCTCCTGAAATGAATATATGAGTGTTTTTATATGTGCTCAAAAGGCGTTGCTGAGTTAAGTGGCCTTGTTGTACTCAACCTGGACCCTGACGGCCTCGGGGGTGTGCGAGCAAAGGGGGATGAGGAGGGGAGGATGAAGGAGAAGCTCGTAGCACCATGCCTAATCGGCCTTTCTCACCAGGGTCAAGACTTTCTGTCTGGGTCCGCAGTCCTCTCTGCCACTGAGGACCGGACCATTCAGGCGCACAATGTCGCTGTCAGTCCCAACAACACTTCCTGCCTCCACTGGCTCCAGCGCTCGCAGGGATACACAATATTTCACAGCTCACAACAAAGGCCTGTCTGCCTGCACCCACCATATGGTTACTATGGGCCACAATATTGACACACATCACTAATTATTCAAAAAACTCGAGGAAACAGACTGTGGTTAAGAGAGAAGGAAAAGCAACAGTTTGGAAGATACAACTGCATTACTCTGACTCAAGACATTTTCCTGATTGCAGCATTTACTATTTGTTCAATTTAATTGAACTTGATGTGGATCAAAACTAGCCTCATGATAATACCAAGGGAAGGACAACTGAACTGCTGTCCAAAAGAATTTAGTGCACATTTGCCCAGGATACGACTCTCTAAGTCCCACTGGACCCCCATTTGGTGCAAGTTCCATCCCTGCAACGTATTGCTGCATAATTTAACAGTTATCTCATTTTTCTTATGTTACTTTTAATATTTGTTTGTACCCTGCTGCATACTTTGTACAGAACAACGGAACTACGTCTGTTCAGACAGACTAAAGTCATTAGTGGCTGTGTGTTCTACTGTGAAATTGCTTCGAGATAGTTTAATTGGGCTTCACCTGCAGTTGTGCTGTTATTATGTTTTACCTAATGCTAAATATTAGCCACTTTCTCATCACTTTCTTAGCAGGAGGGTAACTACTTTCAAACTCACTCATTTTTCCTTTGTACTTTGTTTTTTTATTACACCATTACATGATTATTTTGTTTTATTTTGTTCACCGCTGTATAACTTCATCAGAATCAGAACAGGAAGTCACAGACTAGGAAATTGCTTAAGCCGTCTTTCATACTAGTATTTACTCAACCATGTTTTTATTTTATTTTATTTTATTTTTTGAGTAATAACATTTGCCACACAAAACCATGTCATGCTACATTCATAACTAATTATTTAAACATGTTTGATTTGATACATTTTTATAACAGTATTTTGTTTATCTGTTCTCAACTGCAGTGCGCCCAATCCCGTGGTCCGGAGCCCCCTGATGGGTGGGAATGGTCCCCTGTGCAGCCGGCCATGACAGCTTCATGTTGGGCGCTCCTCTTCAGGGCTCATGATTGACAACTCTCACCGAGGGAGACGGGACGCTCATGTCAGTCTGCGGCAGATAGAGACGGTATGTGTGGGATAGTCACTGAGGTGTCACACATTCCAGCAACCAGCCACATATGATGCAGGTGGGTCTTGAGTTTGTTCAGGTCTTGTAGCTTGGACTACAATGTCGGAGGCCTACAACAGGCTATTAAAATTGTATATGTGGTATAAATAACAATTATGTTGTAGTTTAGTTTTTTTTTTTTTTATCAAGATGACATTGAAAATGCAGTCTAACCCCCAGCCTAGTGGTCCAGCCTAGTGGTCCACTGCTGTAAGCATAAGCAAAACTAGCGATGGACCAATTATGATTATTAACTGTGGTCTGGGTTCAACGTTTAGAAAAGTTTTAAATTCTGTTGTTGTTTTTAAACATTAAACAATTAAGCCACAGTAAGATGCCCAAATGTACCTATCATTGTTTCAAGGAACCTCTATACGACCCTTTTGTACACTTATGGTGCTTTCAGACCGGTAACGCTGAAACGCACGTTCTCTAGTTTTCAGACGCAGGGGTTTTCACACAAGAGATCCTGGCGCGCGCCAGAAGTAGCCGGTGGGCTCTGATGCTAACAGAGTTTAGCTAGCGGCTTCTTGTGTACAGATCCTCTCCAATAATGCAGCTTTGCAGCGTGTCTGTGTTCAGAGACCGTCCATGGACTTTATATAACAGTAGTATGTGTTCACGGAGGTGCGCAAAAAGTTTATTTTATTAAACGGTATTTCCGCATCGGCGAACACACTCGAACAGTTGCATAAAGTCACAGGAGCATGAAAACTCACATGTTAACAAGCACTATGTCCCCCATTGTCAACCCTGGTTTAGTCCTGGTGTAGCTCCTGTTTTGGCTGTTTACGAGTATGTTCAGTCTGCTCGCTCAGACCGCAAAAGTCCCCAGAGACCACTTTGCGGCTCTCTGATTGGTTGCTGCACGAATGTGCATTCCGAGACGTTTGTGCGTTTTGACGCTCGAACGCACGTCACCATTGACTTTGCATTGAAAGCCGACGCAATGCATGATCCGGTCTGAAAGCACCATTTGGGGTTTACAAACCCTCGATTGGGAAACAATGCTCTAGGCCATGCCCCTTTTTTCACTAAGCTGCTTGAGATATACATTTCACACGGAGCCAACACAGAGAATACACAGTGTCTGTGCTCAACTCTTCTGTACATACAAGCAGTATCATCTGTGCATTAGTAAACTATAGTGTTTGAACACGACACAGGTTCATTCTCATTCATTCATGCCTCCTCCTCTGAGAACTGTGACTGTAAATTGCCAAACCGCCGTTGTGTCCTTAGGCAAGACTTTTCACCCACATTGCCTAGAATGAGTCTGGTGTGTGGGTGTGAATGGCTGGTGGTGGTCTAAGGGGCCGATGGCACATACTGGCTGCCTCGCTTCTGTCAGTGTGCCCCAGGGCACCTGTGGCCCCAGAATCCGTGTATCATTCGTTCTTTTGATTTTCTAAATAAAACCAACATTGAAAAAACGAATAACAAGGAATGTTTTTGATTCTCAATATTTGAATTTAATGCAAAATTGAAATATTGGTTTGTTTTTTTGTTTTCTGTGGATCCAATTAAAACGAAAATGCAGTAAACCAATAATGATAGTCTAAATTACATTTTGCGATTTTCCTTTGAAACACAAACGTCCCCCGGAAGTGATTCGAAAGTGCGCGTTTGTCACGAGAACAGGAAGTGTCGCCTCCAGGTACTTGGATCGCACCTTGTTAGCGCTGGTTGTAGGAGAAATGTCTCTTAATACTCTCCTTAACATCAGTCAGATTACCAGCTTTTTCGTTCGCTGCTGCAGAGACCATCGCAGATGAGAATTCTCAGATTCACTAGAGAAGTGTTTTCTTCGATTAAAAATATATACACAAGTGTCAAGGTAAGACATAACTTAGCAACTAGCGCTAACAGCTAAGTTAGCGTTAGCTACGACACATTTACCTTAAGCACAAACATGAAACACTTACACATGTAACAAATGTACCTAATGCGAGTGCTTTATTATTATAAATGTATGTTATAGACTTTCATATTATATAAGAACATGATATGTTTGTGTATTGGTGAAAGTAATCATGCTAAATTTTAGTAAATAAAAGATGATGCTAGATGTACCTTAACCATTCAATTGTTTCTGCTTCATTCTCAATTATTGTCGAGGGACAGTAGTTAGAGCTAGATGCTTCAGGCTTATGAAGAGAAACGAGGAGCCCTCAGGCTGCCAGTTTGAAACAGTCAGAAAGACTGCAGGTTTGAAACAGTCAGAAAGACTGCAGCTTTGAAACAGTCAGAAAGACTGCAGCTTTGAAACAGTCAGAAAGACTGCAGGTTTGAAACAGTCAGAAAGACTGCAGCTTTGAAACAGTCAGAAAGACTGCAGCTTTGAAACAGTCAGAAAGACTGCAGCTTTGAAACAGTCAGAAAGACTGCAGCTTTGAAACAGTCAGAAAGACTGCAGCTTTGAAACAGTCAGAAAGACTGCAGCTTTGAAACAGTCAGAAAGACTGCAGCTTTGAAACAGTCAGAAAGACTGCAGCTTTGAAACAGTCAGAAAGACTGCAGCTTTGAAACAGTCAGAAAGACTGCAGCTTTGAAACAGTCAGAAAGACTGCAGTTTGAAACAGTCAGAAAGACTGCAGTTTGAAACAGTCAGAAAGACTGCAGTTTGAAACAGTCAGAAAGACTGCAGCTTTGAAACAGTCAGAAAGACTGCAGCTTTGAAACAGTCAGAAAGACTGCAGCTTTGAAACAGTCAGAAAGACTGCAGCTTTGAAACAGTCAGAAAGACTGCAGCTTTGAAACAGTCAGAAAGACTGCAGCTTTGAAACAGTCAGAAAGACTGCAGCTTTGAAACAGTCAGAAAGACTGCAGCTTTGAAACAGTCAGAAAGACTGCAGCTTTGAAACAGTCAGAAAGACTGCAGTTTGAAACAGCAGAAAGACTGCAGGTTTGAAACAGTCAGAAAGACTGCAGCTTTGAAACAGTCAGAAAGACTGCAGCTTTGAAACAGTCAGAAAGACTGCAGGTTTGAAACAGTCAGAAAGACTGCAGCTTTGAAACAGTCAGAAAGACTGCAGCTTTGAAACAGTCAGAAAGACTGCAGCTTTGAAACAGTCAGAAAGACTGCAGCTTTGAAACAGTCAGAAAGACTGCAGCTTTGAAACAGTCAGAAAGACTGCAGCTTTGAAACAGTCAGAAAGACTGCAGGTTTGAAACAGTCAGAAAGACTGCAGGTTTGAAACAGTCAGAAAGACTGCAGCTTTGAAACAGTCAGAAAGACAGCAGGTTTGAAACAGTCAGAAAGACTGCAGGTTTGAAACAGTCAAAGCCGCTGGGCTCATGTTCAGCTTGAGTTCCTGTCCTGATAGAAGACTAGCATAGCATCTTTATGTTTGGTGGTTACTATTTCTCTTCTGACTTTATAAGATAGTTAAGTTATAACAAGTAATAACTATGTCTGTTCTAAACCCACTTTTCTGTTTTAGATCTCACTGGGTGTGCAGGAGGTAAAGGTTTCAGACTTCACACTACTCCCAGCCTTGGCCTGTACCAGTGATCTGCAAAGCTCTCCAGCTGGTCCTGGCCGGTACCAGTGATCTGCAAAGATGGATGTGTTTATGTCAATGCAATAAAATTAATAACTGATCTACAAATCTCCTTTTTGTTCCTTTACATTTTAAACTTTCAACTCGTGTTTATCATTGTAAATGTATGTTACAAAATTAGAATCATTGCATGAAAAAGCACGTACTCGTCAGTGTACATTATGTTCTGTCACATTTGAAAGTGTAAAAACTGTTCTTAAATCCAGTTGTCCTGGTCTTAATGGGCATTACACACGCAGTGACCTCACAGAGATGTAAACTGTATGGTCAATCTAACATGCTGGTTAGGAAGTCTAACTTGCTCTGTGAATGTAAAAACCTCCTTGTTCCAGTCTTTTTGGGCTCCTTTATTCACAAACCAACTGTGGCGGAGCTACAAGCAGGTCAGTCTGCAGAGGTGAACAGTTTCCTATGACTGAATGAGGATGCTGCTGAAGATCCCAGACACAGTCGTCCAGTCAGATGTTTGCTGAGTGCAGGGTGCGCTCCTTTTCTGCGTCACTGCTACTATCAGTCATGTGTAGAGTCATGATGGTACCTAATAGTATTGTACAGTCCCTGGTTTGCCCTTACATCAGCTCAGTCAGGTTCACTTCTAAACTTTGGAGTCACTGGCTTCTTTGTATGTGTGACTTGCTGTAAATATGTGATTATGTGTCTTTTTAACAGCTTTTTTTTGTGTATTGTTCTTTCATTCTTAGCTCTGGATCCTGTGCTTGCATGTAAGTCCTTAGTAAAGTCTAAATAAACTTGGACCCATGTTGCTGTTGAAAGGAAGTCTGAGGTGTAAGTTGTTCTGTAAAGGTACATTCAAATACACAACTTGTCATTTTACAGTCTTGTTTAGTTAAGAATGTCATTTCCTAATTCATAAATCTATTGATACATAATCCACAAATAGTTAGTATTTGTTTTAACGGGTTTTCCATTGCGATTCAACACAATTTAGAAAAAAAAATTTACAGAATTGTGTCCAAGTGTGTTTTAATTTGGGAACAAACTAATCAAAAATATTTACACTGGAACAAACACAGATTTAAATACATGATGAATTTAGTCTTTGGCCTTCATAATTTGCCAAAACACAACAAGCTGTGATTCCTGAGCCTCGGGAGACAGAATCCCTCTTGAATGTTGCAATAAAATTATTCCAGGAAAAAGAGATGGAGCAGCAATAGTTTTAAGGCGGCTGATATGTAAAAAAAAAAAAAAAATGTATGTATATATTGGGCAGGAAGATGATCCATGTTTAATGAATACATTTACTCAGAATACCTTTCTGTGAGCCCTATACGATGAAATAACGCCACTTCAAAAAGTTTGCTTTCGTGATTAACCACTGTATCAAAAAGAAGGGACATGACTCAGCTGATGACTGGACATTTGGACAAACCTAGTCGGTGTAACGTGGTTGATATTTCTGCACATGTTTGAATGTTTTAGAACCATTCTATCGCTGTATCTGCAAAGTCTTCCAACGCACCCATCATTTAGTTCATCTCCACCGCTACTCCACTGTTTACCTGCGGGGTGCGCACTTGCGAATCACTTCCGGGGGATTCTTGTGTTTCAAATGGAAATCGCAAAAAGTAATTTAGACGATCATTATTGGTTTACTGCATTTTCGTTTTAATTGGATCCACAGAAAACCAAAAACAAACCGATATTTCAATTTTGCATTAAATTAAAATATTTAGAATCAAAAACATCCCTCGTTATTCGTTTTTTCAATGTTGGTTTTATTTAGAAAATCAAAAGAACAAATGATACACGGATTCCCCCAGCAGTAGTATATCACCACCGTGATACCCCTTTGGAATCATTCATCCAACCACTTTCACCTTTAATTGCACTAATATATGACCAATTAAAAGACGTCAAGCTCTACGAGTGCTTTTCTATTTTCATAAGCTTTGTTTTTTATGTGCCAAATAATGCATACAATATCCTATGTCTTTTCTGATGGCATGTCTACTGTCAACCCATCACTAGCCCTCAAGTCAACAAAACAATCTGTGCTACTTCGACACTGCAGCGAGAGGGATTTTCTTTCGACATTATGTTTCTCACCCAGAACTGCAACCAGTTTCAATTCTGGACTTGGTCGGGTCTTTGTCGTTTTTGTTTATTTTCGGTCCTAAATATTTTGTTCCAAAATGTAAGAATGTGTGCACACTCGTAAGCTTTTTATCTGTGGCTGCCAAGTTGGCCATCTGGTTGACAGGCAGAATGGTGGCTCACGCCGTTGGAGTGCGTGGCGTGTGCCGCAGTGATGGGGCTGTGGACACATGTATGATCGACTGGTATGCAATATGTTCGCCTTCCGCTCACATGAGACTTTATTATAAACAGCATCTTACTTTTCATGGGCTTGCAGCACTCCTCTTTATTGCACTGTGTACAGGTTACACTCGTTCTTTACAAACTTTATGGATCCACAATGAAATGGCTTGAACACAGTAGCGCTCATGTTACTATGTCAGGCCTGGGGAGAAACACATAATTACACATTATAATAACAAACTCATTAAGAAGTGAAAATGGCAATCAGCAAAAGCTCCAATATTTTATCTGCAAAAGGTCCAATATTTTATTTTCGATTGTTGTTCTATGCCCTAAAATGACCTCACTTATTTATTTATTTGTAATTTATTCATATAAATTGTTAGATTGATATCAGAAACACAATAGACATGCTAATATTGTTTTTCAGTATTGTTCACTTTAAAACATTTGGACTTGTCAGATACTTCCACACATTGAATGGTTAACTACATGTTTTTGTTTGTGGCAATGATGGCAAGAGCAGTTCAAATGGAGCACCAACATTTTTCATGAATAAATTTTGTTTGTCCCAATAGAAGAGTTTTGTTCTATTATTATTTTGTGAACAAGTCCAACTACAACATGCAACCTTTATCTTTATGACAGAGGCCAAAGATACATGCATGTGAAAACTCTGGATATGGTTTAAAAAAGTAGGAACTAGTTACAATAATTTTATTTTTGCTATTTTCTTGTGGTTTCAAAGTTGGGCTCTCCAGCTTTAAGGTAGATTGAATAACATAGTCATATAGATGTAGACTGATTGTTTGCTCAAAGGTTGTCCAGCACCCAGATGTCTCCATTTCTCCTGACACTGGTCCCGCGCTGGTGAGATGGGCTGTGCCACATCTGTCCTGGCAGAGGTGTGCCATATTGCCTCCCATCTGCCTTGTGGCATTCACACGGACTCCCTCATGCAGCCTGCCCAGAAAATGCCCATTTTAACCAGCGCCATAAAGCTGGTAATTCATGGGAGTGAAACAGCGGGTTTTTAAGAGTGCTCAGAGGAACCGAACAGAGCTGGAACCTTCAGCATCTGATAGACAGATTTCCTGCTCCTATTTTCCACCCGAACTCTGTGAAGTGCACTATCGCCATGCAGAGACAAGACATCAACGTTTCTCTTTGAATCACTCTGTCTTTGCCTGTGCCACCATCTGCTTTCCCACGTCCAACATTGCTAAGCCTTTTTCTTCTGTGCATTCCGACCAGCCAAGAATGCAGTATGGATGTGAATGTCACCCCTGTCCCAATGTTACTGTGGGGAAATTGACTTCTTAGCCTCGGCGCTGTCGGTGGCCATATGCTGATGTTTTCATATTCCAGAGAAACGAGGCCGGGGAGTCGTAAAGAGCGCTTAAAAATGTTAGAATTATGGCCCTGGCTCGCATTGGTGAGGCAGAGACGCCCCTTCTGCCACAGATCTAACTGAATGTGCCCACAAACTGGTGGCCATTTTGCTTTTTGCATGTTTAGTATCACTTACTTATTAAAGATTCACAGCCGGTTGGTGCATGAGGAACAGTTAAGCGTCTCCGTTGATAGCCGTCTTTAGGAGACTCAAGCCGCAGAGTTCGACGCAGTGCTAGCAGCTTATCTATATTTCATGCTTTTATCTGCTCTCCTGGTTTAATTAGGCAGTTAGTGACTCATTAAATTCTATTGAGAACAAACTTTCACCTCGTTGCAAAGTTGTGCTGATGTGAAGCTTTTGCAGACTGTAGCAGTGCTTTTGATTAGCTTGCAAAGTCAAAATTATTGTTGTTTTGTGTGAGTGGTTTAGTGGATCATATCATATTTAGATTTTTATTTTTTTCGCTTTTGAATTGGGACAGATGGAAGATTATTTAGTGGTAAAAGAAAATACCAACACTTCAGATAATATATTGAGCAGAATTAAAGCATCTATTTCTTCAACAAAAGTAATTTACAAAACTGTAAACTCCTCCAGAAAGGTTGTCTATTTCCTATGTTACTTAAAACACTGTGATGCAGTTTTGGCTTTTGAGTCATTTGTATACACACATTTATGAAACAACATGACTCAATATGGCATACTTTAGGAAGTTCTGTACTTTCTTTCCCTTGTATATGTACTTTACTTTTCTACTTTGTTGGACAGCTTTATACTTGATTGAGAGGGAACGTGAGCGCTGCTGTGGGTTGGGTATGCAGTCAGGTGCTCAAAATCGCAGAAGCTCAAATTTAAAAGGAATAAAAGAAGGTCTGAGGCGCAACTGACTTTCAAGTAAAAATCCTTTATTTACACGGGACACCAATGTGTTTTGTCTTCATACATTGTCTCAAACTTTTTTCTCGAATTGATGACTTTTAAACCGAAATATTTGTACCTTATACGTCTCATGTTTAACAATGAATACAGTAGTTACTTTTCAGATAAAATAGATTTGAAGTGGTTAGCTATCTATAAAATAGCTTCTATAATCTATAATAATCACTTCTATAATCTATAAAATAGATTTGAAGTGGTTAGCTATGCTTCTATGTGAATTTATTTGTTGTGGTTAGCAGCACTTCTGTAGTGAGATATACATGGTTCAAATTATACATGTATATACATGTATTATACACGTTTCAAAGGCATCGACTAAATTGTCTCAAATAATTATGTTGTCCTTCAATCATTTTCTGCTGGCCTCCTGCTGGTGCTCAGACTCAGAACTAAAAATGGGGTGGTAGCGTTTCAGATTTATGTTGCTAAAATCTGGAACAGTCTTCCTAAAAATGTAGACAGACTTCTACTAACAATAAGTCTGGGTTGACAACAGTTCTGTTTAGCTGTGGATACATCTGAAGCATTGTACCTTCACTATTTTTGAATGTACTGGGATTATTTATGCCTTGTTTATTTTCTTGTTTTGTTAAGCACTTTGAGTTACCTTCTGTATGAACTGTGCTATGCAGATAAACTGGCCTTTGCCTCGTAACTAAGTGATTTTGCCACACGTAATGAGGCACCCCTTTGTGCGTGTTCTTGTTACAATTTGGTTCATCTCCTCCTCACTATGGACCACAGACTGCTCCTTAAACCAAACTGCCAACCTGGCGCTCTCAATAAAACCACACAAATTGCGTACAGTATTTTAACCAGTAAAATTCTCAGTGTGTGTCTTTGCTGCCACAAGTTTCCGGTCTCTCTGAACTTAAACTTTTGTACATTAACCCCAACCTGGAAGTCGTCTTCTAATAGAGGTGTCCACGGGTCCTCTCCCCGGTACATGTCTTGTTGCTGCTAATGCATGGCTTGGTGCGGCTGACAGATGCCCGCTCCAGCTGGTGCCGAGGGGGGGTTTATCGCCCGGTTGGCCGGTGGCTCCTCGCACCCCTCCGCTGTTCCTGGCCACCGTCGCCGCCGCGTTTAATGAGTCACGAATTGCCTGTTTGTCTTCTGCTCCCTGCTGTTTGCGCACTCCCCCTTCCAGAACAATCCCTAAAACACATGCTGCTGCGCGCCACCGAGCAGCCAGACCGCACAGAGCAGCCAAACGGTTATAAAGAACAAAGTTGTCATTTTTTATCCCCTTTTAGCAATTCTTTGGGTGTCCATCTGAGAAAAATGCGATGGCCCGTTCTGTTAATAAAACTGTCTGTATGTCCTGACCCCTCCAATATGGCCGCCCCGTGAAAGCAGTGCCCATTTGAAGCCCCTGACAAACAACATAAATGGCTCTATAATTGGGATGGCTTTGTTGTGCCGAGGGAAGCTGGCGGGCCTGAAAGTGCCGTGGTGCTAAATGGAGTTACATTATGACAACACATGGCATGGAGCTAAAGAAGATTCTGATTCTGGCAGGCCCAAAAGACAGAAGCAGGTGGTGCCGATGAGGGAATGGCGTGTTTTAAGTCGCTATTTAGGAAAAAACAAGAAAGTTTGAGCAACAAATAAACAGATCGCAAATTCATCTTGAGGCCAAAGCCGTGTGATTGTGTGAGAGAGTCCAACAGAGAAGCTTGGAAGGCCTTCAAATGTAGCCGTATTTACACAGAAGGCCAATTGTAGCGAGCACTGACTTCTGTAAGCAGTGTGGACTATAGCCTCAATCTCTCACCTGTTTAATGTGCGAGGAAAGCCAACGAGTTCAGCAGCACAAACAGGTGGCTCCACAACTGGGGAAAGTAATGGACTGTAACAGATTTTGGCATCTTAAATCGGGAGCTTCTTTTAATCTAGAGTTTTGAACACGATCACTTTTTGATGACAACTTTTAATACTTCTTTGTGAAGTAAGTAAAGTATTCAGCAGCCAGAAACTTGAAAGTGTCAGTGGAATTAGCCACAGCATTTGGACAATTGTTAGAAACTAATCAGGCAGAAGTTTAATCTTCAGAGATTTAACAGATAAGACAGGTTTACGTTAGAAATATTAAGAAATTGTAGAAATAATTTGGATGTTATTTTCAGGCTTAAGTTTTGATTATAATCCTTCTTGGTATTTATAAATCCCTCTACAGTCTGGCACCTTCATATATTTCTGATGTACTTTTGCCTTTTGAACCTGTGCGCGGTCTCAGAACCTCAGAACTCAACATTGTGCGAGGTTGAAGGTGAGAGAGGTCTCCCATCATGCGTCTTGTAAACGGAACGCATAATTACATTAAACGTGCTACGGCCCTGAGCTCATTAAAGAGTAAAAACCTACTTGTTTAGACTTTCTCATCCTTAGAAGATCCCTTATCTCTTCATTGTCTTTTCAGATTTGTTTAGTTAGTGAATTCTGGATCTAGAGCCAGGACCGGATCTATAGCCATCCGTGGGAGCGGATCCCTCCCTCATTGTGGGCTTTTCCGAGGTTTCTCACTTTTCTCTCAGTGGGTTTTTAGTTTTTCCTTACTGATACAGGAGGGTCTCAGGGCAGTGGTGATGATCCAGGAAATTCGACATTTATAGACATCTATCAACATTTATGGACATTGGTCATATGCCCTTATGGACCAATGGGTTTTTATCATTGCGTTTCTTTGAACTGTTTTGCATTGTTTGAACTGTTTGATTCTCTGATCTGTTGTATTGAATCAACTACTGTTGTGATTTAGGGCATTACAAAAATAAATGTAATTTAATTGAATAGTTACACTTTCTTACAATGTTACAATGTCTTCATCTAATCAGAAGTGTGTCTTAGAAAGACTACTTTTGCAGAACACAGGGTGGAGAACAAAAATCAAAATATTATGAATGATGAATGATGTTACTCAAAACAATGAACAACATTTTCATATGCTTTTTATGACAATATCTCAAGAGTAAGAAGTTAAACAACAGGTAAAGAATGCTGACTGGATAACTTTCAGAAGTGAGAATATCTGTGGAATCTTGGCAGCATCCGGATTGGGCCCAGTGCCGTGAAATCCTCGAGCGGAGCGACGCTTTGTGGTCCATCCCGGCTTTCTCAGAGGGGCATTCTTCCCTTTGTCCAGGTCACCAAGACAGGGGCGTCCGACCCCAGAGCTGCTCCGCGGGGGTAAACAATAGCTAAAAGGCGGACCATAAATGTCTCCAGTTCAGCTCCGACCCATTGACTCCGCGCCTCCCGCCAAGCAAGGCCCTGTCAGACCAGCCCCTCTGCCTAACAGCTTAATTAGCAGAAAGAACAACAATGTCCAGCATGTTTGGGTCTAAAGAAAAACCGCAAAAACCTGAAATGGTGCTTGGCCCGCCCCTCATTGTCCCGCTCCATAACGCTGTAGTGACTTTTCTGTTAGTTAGTACAAATAAAACAACATTCTTACACAGTTCTGTGAAAGGCATGACGGCTGCTGATGGACAATCACAGAGAGGCGTGTCTGCCGTGAGCTGGCCGCATGTATACGGTCATTTATCGTCTATATTATGCTTATCTTTAAGAGACTGCTTCAGTTTTGGTCATTTTTCATGATAAGGCCTCAGAGGATTATGATGATAGTGGTGCTGATGATGGAGTTTTCTTTGTGATGGAAATGGGAGTTCAAAGGAAAGACACTGTGGCTTTGAACCTCGTCTCTTCTCATGTGACAAACTGACGGAGCGTGTCTTCCATCTCGACATGTTTCTGTCAATCATTCGCACTATTATATGAGCTGGAGAAGTTGAGTTCTTCAACAAGTGCCACTCAGTTCTACTACAGTGTGCTATAGCAGTTTTCAAAAACAACATCAGAACAGTGTAAGTAACAGGATGTCACAAACTAGTCATTTGCTTTAATATGTGGTGCAAACAAGTTATAAAAAAGTATAATGGAATAAAAAGACATAAAGGCAAAAGCTATTTAAAAAAAAAATGCTTTTCCATGATCACCAGCTGAACTTGAAAAGAAATGTATGGAAGTATTTGAACGAAATGCAGAAGCCCAGTGAACAACTGATTAGATTTCGGAGGTCTGTGCTTTTCGAGTGCTTTTGATGTGTGAAGAATAGAAAGACGGGGAAGTCTGGGATCGTGTCACAGCAGAAGGCATTTTATTTTTGGTAAAAAGACACGACTCTGAGCATGCGACCGTGCCAATAGTTATATTAGTTTCAACCTTCAGATAACCAAAAGATCAGGTGAAAAATCTCTGACTTCTGCAGTCTTTCTTAATGATAAGTTCAGTTTTAACATAATTACATCAAAACTGTTAGAAAAGGGCCATATATCGTCCAAATTATGTTAAATAAATCATTGTAATTTAGGGTTACACTACTGTCCTCAATATAATTAGGGTTGTCAAAAGTATAGCAAGTCAAATATTAATCGATAGAGGGCTGTAGTAAGTTAATTGATTAATCACTGGTTATTGGAAAAGTTGTCAACTAATTTACTAATCCTTTCTTGAACCTTACACAGACTTAAACACGCTGAGAAGAGTTTTTCTCTTGTTCTCCAGGGGATTTTCACAAGCTTTGTTTTGGTCAAATGTTTCAAAAAATCCCACATTCACCGAGCTTTAGGATCTTAACAACAAATCGGTTAATCGAAAGAATAATCGGCCAACTAATTGATTATCAAAATAATCGTTAATCACAGCCCTAAATTGATACTAAAACTAGTACCAAAGCTATACTAATTTGAGCAAGTATAGAAATTATATAAAATGACTTAAACAGTGCAGAATTTCACATTTCTTGACAATATTTTGATAAATATTTAACTATATCAGAAGTACTATCAAAAAGGATTATCATTTAAGTTTAAAATTATAGTTTATTTTCCATAAAGAGTACTTTTACTAGTTTCAAGTTTGAAATGTTTTGTGACACCATACTCCTTGGTGCTTTATTGAGAAACGTACTGTAATAGGAATATAAACAAGTGAAAGTGATCGTTGGTCTTTCTCAAGTTCAATCCAGAACAGTTAGTCTCTGCTCACACCTCTCCACGTGATGTGCATTAATGTGTGTGACGGCCCATCTCCTCGCCGCTCCTGCTGTCCTCTTTGTGCCTTTTCCTTTATGTGCGGATCACATCAAACGCTGGCACCAGATTGATTCTCATGTGAACAAGACTGCAGTGGGGGGCTCAGACCTTCTCTGCTCTTTGAAGGCCCTTCCCATACTGTTCACTGCCGGACCCCTCCTGCAAGCAGACACAAAACACTGGTTTTATCACACCCTTCCACCATAGATATCCACATATCCTTTTTGGACTCACAATGGCATGGAATTTCCCACAGAACTGCATGGCACTGAGAGGGGGCAAGATCCCCTCAAAGTATAAGACACAGTAGAGAATGTGTACAGTTTGAAAAGTGAGCTTGAAATGTTGACGTGCACCATATTGTTTAGAGCAGAAAACACACTAATGATAAATAATCACTGTTTGCATTCCAGTACTAAGGGATGAAGAATTTGAGGTTGTTTGTTTCTCTATCAAGTCTCGCCTGCAAGAGTTCAAGTGGATCCCATCTCAGCGTGTTAGGAGATGGACTTGTGTCTCGTCTGGACCTTCTATAAATTCACCAGAAACAAGAGCAGTGTGACTGTTGATATGTGCTCAGGAAGACCATGAAGTTCAGGCCTGGGACAGACCAGGGCCTAACTGCGCTGGTATTGTCAATTTCCTGACTGCATGAAGACATAGGGCCCATATAAGTTATTTTGGAACAGCAAAGCTCTTTGAGAGTGTCCGAGGCTGAACCATATTTAACCTTTGGTGTCAGACCACCCGCCAGAGCCTGGGCCTCCTCTCGTCCATTCAGCACCTCAGTGGCACCCATAGCCACTCCGAATATGATCTACAGCTGCTGCGCACACAAACTCACAATTTATTTCTCACACAACTCAAACATCTTTAGAAGATGTGCCCCACAAAGGAGCACACCACAATGCCCCAGCGGCAGTATAAATTAAACAGATCTGAGGTGGTGCTTTATGTGGAGGGTGCAGGATGGGACAGACACGGTTCCCAG